CCCCCCCATGCCCCTTCCCTCCCCCTCCCCTTTCACCACAACAGACTTACCAGCTGCATGCAGATCTCCACGCTGCCGGGCTGTGCACATGCATGGGCATTTATCAGCCAAATTATCAGCCACATTAGGCTGATTTCTGATATAATCAATTTTCTTCATATTGGTACTGATCTGATATTGGACTGATGTACAGGTGCACCTCTAAATTTTGGTATTTGATTTTGGGTTTTTTATCATGGAAAATCAGAGCTCCCCTGTCCCCATCGCTCACAGAATGCAGGTCCAGGCCCCTCACTCCCAAACCACAGCCCCTCCAGCCCTGCTGGTGCTCCTCGCTCCCCTGCTACAGCTCCCCAGCTCTGCTAGTGCCCCTACTCCCCATCCACAGACCTCCCAGTCCTGCTGGTGCCCCTCATCTCTCATCCACAGCCCCGTGCCCAACCCAGCCCCGCCAGAGAGAGCCCCCAGCTGCCAGGGCTATGGGGCCAGAGACCTGGGTCCACAGCCCCCTGACCCCTGCAGAAGGAGGCAGCGGCTGCTGCAGTGGAGCAGAGCACAGAGCCTGGCTACCTACCCTGCTGCCTGCTGCAGTCTCGGGTTGGGGGGAGGGCTGGTTCCCTGATGTTGCGCATCAGGGAGGGGGGGCAGGAGGGACCCATGCCCCCCAAATCTGTGCGCAGGGCAGGGGTGAGGCAGGATGCCCAATGAGGGCTTGGGCTCCCCACCCTACTGCCCCTCCCCTGGGACCTCCTCAGCCCAATGGGTGCAAGCCGGCATTGCAGGGCACAGTGGGGCTGGGTGAGAAAGCTTGTTGCTGCTGCAAGCTCCATGTTGCCCTAGCGAGGCATCTCCTGCCCATGCGGGAGCAGCAAGGGTGGTGGCATGGGGTTTTGGGCAGTGGCACAGGCCCACAGTGGGCAGCCCACACCCAACCCCACCCCATGCACAGGTCGGAGGGGCATGGCTCCCCCTTCCCCCTGGGGAGTGCACACAATGGCAGGGAGCCAGCCCATCCCCTCAGACAAGGTGCCCGCAGCCCTGTCCCACTCCTTGCCAGGGCACTGCAGCTGTGCATTCCACCCCAGGCCCCAAACCCCATGCGCTGCCCTGCTGGGCAGCAGCCCCAGCCTTGCCCAACTCCCTCCCTCACTACAGGGGCCTCAATTCTGCCCCTCCCCGCAACTTACTCGTGGGAGCTGCTCTCCAGGCTGTGCTTTTACATGCACACGGCGCCCCCTGCCAGACCGCCCTCCTCCTGGTGCCCCCTAGCCCTGTGCAAGCTGGACCTCTGCCAGGCTGCAGAGAGCTCTTTGAAAAACTGCAAAATCCACAGGTTTCTCCATTAAAACTAAAAATCCTTGTTTTCCTTGAGTAAAGGGGGAAATCCGTGTTTTTCTCTGTTTTTCCATAGGAAACGGAAAACTCAGATTCCTGCTTATTACACAGGTTTCGTACATGTGCTTAAGAAATGAGTCTTATGCAACATTTCATCTTGCACAGCATTTGTTTCATGTATCCAATATCTGGTTAAAGGTTTTGGCACTGCAAGCCTCCTGGCTCTTTGCCACCTCCCTCACCATCCCATGACCTGATTCAACTATGCATGCTGACATATGTAGCCAAGGTTAATTTGCAACATGAACTTGTGATAGAAAGCAGCCTGTGTAATAGTACACAAGTTTCACTCTGGCCTTACATCACTGAATTCCCTGCGCTCTGATGTAAATAGCAGGCTGGAATGCACATTCTACCCCGCTCATCCTACAGGATTGGGAAGTTCACCAACCTTTTAATCCAAACACTGATAGCTCAGTGACCTTTCTAGTTCTTTAATTCCAATGAAGCTTTCCAATAAGGTCTGGAATGCCTACCCTAAGAGCTGTGCTTATCTGGGTTTCCTGTCATCAGGTACCACACCATAAACCAACATGACAAAAAACAGCAGAAAAAAATCTCAAGAGTGGCCAGCATTGCATGAAAAGCTTTTGCTTCTCCGACCAAAATTTTCCTGTATTTTCCCCTTGATTTTTGTTTTTATGGATGTGTACTTTCGGTTTCTTCAGAGTTATTTGCGCCAGCCTCGTATCATCCTGTATTTGGGAGGCATAATAACAGGAGCTGATATTTCTCTTCAGTGTCTACCTGAGGATTCAATAGCAATCTACACATAAGGTCCATGTCATACCCTCAAAATAGGAAGGTACTATACTATTTCCCTTGTTTTACACAGGCACCTAGAGTGGGTGAGATCATAACTTGGAAAAAAGTTACCAACAATTTCAGACATATCCATTTCCGGGTACCCAGCTTGATATACCTCAGGCCTGATTTTTAGGGGTGCTGAGAGAACCTGGAGCTGCTTAGTCCTTTGTACTTCTAATAATGAGGCCCAAGACATCTCAAGGAGCTAGCTACAAAACAAAGATGCCCAAAACTCTGGGGTAAAGCATCCACACCTGAGGACAGGAGGGTGACCCAGGCAGACCTTGACAGGCTCATGAAAATGGGTGGATGGGAACCTGATGGTGTTTAACACCAAAAAATGCAAGGTTCTCCACCTTGGGAGGAAAAACCTGCAGCCTGCTTATAGGCTTGGCAGTGCTATGCTGATTAGCACTACAGACGAAAGGGATTTGAGGGTTATGACTGACCACAAGATGAACATGAGCCTTCAGTGTGATGCTGCGGCTACTAAAGCAAGCAAAACGCTGGCTTGCATCCATAGATGCTTCTCAAGCAAATCCCGGGACGTCATTCTCCCCTTGTACTCGGCCTTGGTGAGGCTGCAGCTGGAGTACTGCGTCCAGTTTTGGGCTCCACAATTCAAAAAGGATGTGGAGAAGCTTGAGAGAGTGCAGAGGAGAGCCACGCACATGATCAGAGGTCAGGAAAACAGACCTTATGACGACAGGCTGAGAGCCATGGGGCTATTCAGCCTGGAAAAGCGCAGGCTCAGGGGTGATCTGATGGCCACCTATAAGTTTATCAGGGGTGACCACCAGGATCTGGGGGAACATCTGTTTACCAGAGCGCCCCAAGGGATGACAAGATCGAACGGTCACAAACTCCGCCGTGACCAGTTCACGCTGGACGTAAGGAAGAACTTCTTTGCTGTCCGAGCCCCCAAGGTTAGACTGCTGCCGGAGGTGGTTCAAGCACCCACTTTGAATGCCTTCAGGACATATTTGGATGCTTATCTTGCTGGGATCCTATGATCCCTGCTGACTTCCTGCCCATGAGGCGGGGGACTGGACTCCACGATCATCCGGGGTCCCTTCCAGCCCAAATGTTTATGAAATCTATGAAAATAACTGGTTGCTTTTGAACATACTGACCTAGACAGCACACAGCTCATGTAAGAAATCAATTTATGACAAAGCCCAGAAGAAAATAGATATCTTTTTGACTCTCAAGTTCCTGCTCTACCACCCAGGTATCTAGTCTCTGAAACAACCCTCTCACTGGAGGACAAGCAGTCTTGTTGGGTGCTCATCCAAACAAAATAGATGCTTTGAAGGTTCATTCACCACCAAAAACGATGGGCATTTTTAGGTTCTTAATACACAAATTTTCTCACCCCTGTCATGAGAGACAAATAGAAATCAAGGACACAGAACTGAAGTCAGTCTCTAAAAAATTTTCAGTGGAACATCAGCAGTTCTTGAGGGAGATATAAACAGTTAAAATATGCATATTCAATACTTTCTCTAACGGAGATGTCTCATGTTTATGACCATCCCTTTTGGGGCTATAAAACTACATAATATATTATATTATGATGTGTGTATGCATGTGTGTGTTTAAAAACAACTCAAATCAGCAGACGTCTCAGACACACCAGAAAACAGCCCTTATCATTAGGATGCTCTAATTTTTAACCATCCCTGTGGTTCTGCTCAGTCTGTGACCTCTCCGTTGGATGGATCACCGCTCTCCTGACTAACTTCTTGTTTAAATGTGAATCTTCTTCCTCCTCTGCTGTTTTTTTTTACAAGACGCTTTGTGAAATTTCCTTAGCGCCCAGGGGCCCATAAAACAAGAGGTTTTTATGAAATGAAGATTTTCTTGATCTTTACAGCAATGTAGTTTAGTGCTTGGAGGTTAGCTCTTGAAGCAGGAACATCATTTTATGAAATAAGACACATAAAATAGCACAAAGGGATCCTTCGAGTAGACTGTGATGCAAAACCGATCAATGAATAAGAGACCTCTCACCCCTAATCGTTACAACACGGTCTTTGAAAAATTAAAATGCTCCCTATCACTTGCCTTCAGGGGTATTCCATCCCTTAATGATTTCAAGCCTTAGGTTTCGAGTTCTCTTTAATTTATGTCATGGCTGCCCTGTATTCTGAAGCTGGTTGCTTTGCTATCATAAGAAGGTACCTTGGGATTCATATATGACAAGGTACATTGTAAACGATTCCTGCATTTCAAGTACCATAATGTCTACTCTATTGGATTTAGAGGCGAACAACCAGGAAAATAGCCAGAGCTTTGAGGGTGAATTCAGTTCAGTTGATGCAAGTCTTCCAATGTGTGTGTATAGGAGGATGGAAGGACCCTTGCTTTAGACCATGGGTAGGTAACCCCTGGCACACATGCGGAGCATGTTATGTGGAGCCATTTTGCTTGGCAGGCCACAGCTGGCCCCAGCTTTGGGCAGGTCCCTGCCACGCAGCCACAGAGCCCAGGCTGCTCACAGCAATGGGTGGGGAGGCTGCAAGCAGGCTCTGTGGCAAGCAACAGGAACCTACCCAGAGCCTGGGCTGCTTGCAGAGGGCAGCCACAAGACTGCAAGCAACTGCACCAGAGTCTGGAGCCCTGGCCTGGCTTGTTGCTGGTAGCAGCTGCATGTGTGCCTCAGGGACCATGGCAGGGAAGGGGGCCAAGGCTGTGTTGCCACAACAAGGATCAGGCTCCTCATGGTTCCCCTGCCATCCACCACTGGCACGCCAAGTCAAAGTTGCAGGGTTTTTTGGCACTTGGCCCGAAAATGTTGCCAACCCCTGCCTTAATCTATGCCAGGGGCCACCAAAGGTCTCACACCAGCTCTGTGTCCATACCAGGATATGCGCTGTTCAGCTACAAAGCCTTGTTTAGAAAAACTGAAGCTTGGATTTTCAAAGCATCCTAAAAGGATTAGCATCCTGCTTCCATTACATTTCAATGGAATCTGCATGTGTAACTCCCTTATTCCTATAACAATCCCAGTCAAGATCCCTTAACACTTTATAAGGTCCGGGCTCAATCAGTGCTGATCCACTCACGTAGTTAGATCTATAAACGAGGCCACATACTGACAGTGCCACCCACACCGGTATGCCTGCAAAATGGGAAGCCACTTCTAAATAGCAGGTCAGACTCTCCAAAGCGGTTTACCAAAATTAACCAACACCACCCCTGCCCATGCCCTTCAAAAGACTGGGAAACCAGCTGAGTATTAAAACAATGTTTCTGAGGCTGCAGAAGGAGTCAGTGTCTGAAGCTTATTGATCAGGACCTCCTGGCTTCTTGTTTTAAGTTCAGACTCAGGACACCTCAGCTTCATCTAATAGCACAGTTTTAAAGGCCAACCTGCTTTTATGTTTAGCTCTAGAGGAAAGCATAAAATAACCCATGCTTTTGCATAGCTTTGTCACTGTCATTTTTGTCTGAGTAATATAAATAGTCCCAAAGGTATCCTCCTTGAACTCTTTTATTTATTACATAAAAACTAGATTTCCTCATGTCAGGATGGGTTTGCATCACTGCCTGGACAAAGGCTGTACATTCACCAGATGTTATTCCCCCTTACAGGCTCCCTTTGCAAAGAAAACTCTTTCAGTCTGATTCCATTTTTTCAAAGATCTTCAATGTGTGGCAGAAACGGACCATTTGATTCTTGTACCTAGGATGATGCGTCAGCATCAAACTGTCCAGGACTAAATTCAGAAGCAGCTACCGCCCCACTTGAATCTTTTGTCATTAACACTGGCCAGTGCAAACCCATTATCACATGGAGGAAAACTCTGACAATAAAAGACGCTCTCACAAACACACACGCATATATGCACGCGCAGTGACTCTCTTGCACAATTCATTCAGAACGACTAGAAGATACGTTGGCCACTTACTCTCTCTCTGTTCCCTTTCCTTGATTATAGCATCCAGCCATTTCTGTTTGTCTTCTGCAGTCTTGGCCATACAGACAAACCATTTGTTTTTGGCTGTGTTGTGTATCTTCCAGCCATTTGTCACTGTGTACCCGTTGCTGTGGTAATCTGCTGCAGAAACACAAAAAACAGCCCAGAGTGAACAGAAGGCCTGGCCCTTTAATAAAAACAAACTAGCCTTGGACATCTTGGCTGAAATTTCAACACATAAAGCTATTCAGGGAGTGCTGAGCATGACCTGTTCTCAGCATCTCCAATCCCGGCGAGCAGTGTTTAGTACCTCTAACAGTCTAGCTGTTCGTGGTAGTGCCTATCTTTAGGGCGTCAAGTTTGACAACTTTGTCCCCTGTACAAACTATGACCGCTACAGAGGTGCAAATCCCACTGACAGCAATGGGAGATCCGGGTTTGAGCAACCGTCCCACATTTAGAAGAGCTCAAGCAAAGTTTCTCCAAGAGTGATGTCAACAGGGGAAATCCATTGGGAGTGTCTTGATGGCTTGAGGCCCACTGAAAGATGCATTGACCTATTTATATCCTACATACACTGACTGCTTTGTCCAAAGTCCTGCCAAGGACAGTGAAGAGGGACATTATCCAGTTCTATAGACTAAATCCCTAGAAAAAGTAAACTATGTTGGGCAGCAGCAGTCTTCTCACTAGTAACCTTGACCTAATATGCCTCATGGAGATTCCTTTCAGTCTCCATATCCATTTGCTCCACAATCTCGAAAGCATGTCAAGAAGAAACATGTTATAGCTGCATTTCATCATGCAAAAGCTTTCAAGCTGTGTTTTAAATAAAGTATTTTGCCCCAAAGTATCATGAGTAAAAGACAGTCTGACTGCCAAGGGTCCAAAGACGGAGGTCAGAAGGTTGAATGTTTGATACCAGAATCCCTCTCTGTGGTTCCTGGCTTCTGTTTCCA